AGGCCCGGGCCAGCAACTCGCGGCACACCCGGTCCAGCGGCGGAACGTGGCCCCACCGGAAGCTGCGCAAGTGAAGGCGCCAGAGCCTGCCCAGACGAAGAGGCGAGTGGATGCGTCGGTGACGGCCAGCTGTCTTGACATGCGCCCAGGGTGCAGCGCGGCCCAACGGTGCGGGGCGCGTAACACGTCGGCATCGTCGATGCAGTCGCCGCCAGCCAGCGCGAAGGGCACCAGCGTCCTCCTCTTGGACGCCGGTGTCGGCTCTGGCCTGAGGGCCTGGCCCAGGCCAGATGCCGGTCAACCAGTGGGGCAGACCAGGTGCTGAGCGAGGGTCGGTCGAGCATCAGTCCGGCATTGTTGACCAGGCGATGGTGCATCAAAGGTGATTTGAATGCGGTAGGGTGGTGAGTGCCGTAGGGTAGCATCTATTGGTGTGCTCCTTTTCTGGGACTGTTTTTGCTTGATACAAAAACCATTTCCCAGATCAGAGGCGCCAACCTCACATTCCTCAGACCTTAATTACCACTCCTTCGGTGGATTAGGGCCTAAGTATGATTAATCATCGCTGGGCAGTGGCGTTGGGTGGTTTGTTCCACAGGTCAAATGCAAAGGTTGAAGCCCACCTTCAAGGATGCCTTGCACTGGCCATTGAGCATGACGAGAAAGATTTCTTAAATGGAGAGAAAAACCGTGGTTGAAAACAACAATGCAGTAGCAGTCCTGGGCGGCGGATGCTTTTGGTGCGTTGAGGCCGTTTACACTGAAATGAAGGGAGTAACCTCAGTCATGTCCGGTTATTCTGGCGGCCACGCGGTCAATCCAACCTACTACCAGGTTTGTGGCGAAAAGACCGGCCACGCCGAGGTGGTTAGCGTGGAGTTCGACCCGGCCCAGATCACCTTCCCTGAAATACTCGAGGTGTTCTTCGCCAGCCACGACCCCACTACCCTCAACCGGCAGGGTGCGGACGTGGGCACCCGCTACCGTTCGGTGATCCTCTACACCTCTGATGCCCAGAAGGAGCAGGCGGCCGAATTCATCAAAGAGCTGAATGCGTCCGGTACCGAGCCCGGCCCGATAGTAACCGAGCTTGCTCCCTTCGAGGTGTTCTATCCGGCGGAAGCGGAGCATTATCGCTTCTACGAGAACAATCCTGGCAGTATGTACTGCCGGATAGTCATTGACCCCAAGGTTGCCAAGGTACGGCAGAAGTTCGCCAATAAACTTCGCTAGGCGCCGCAGCCGCGTGATGCGCTGTCAATCCTTTATTCGTGGAAGGGAATTGAGGGTTGTTTGTTGCTGGTGCTAGCAAAGAGAAGCGAACAAGCGAAGTCAGATTTCCTGAACGAGTCGCTTATCAACAATTGGCTTTTTGGGCAGTGGTCTATTGGCTATGGATCTAAGGGGCAGTTGCTGTGGCTGCCCTTCTTTATTTGTGAAGCTGCACCCATCCTTCAACAGTACCTCAATAGAGTGTCTTCGACCGCTTCCGTAGTCAGAAACGCCCTGTAATGCTAAAGCGCCTGTTGCCCTATTTGCTAACCCCTTAGTCCAGTGGCACAATAACCGTCATGAGCGTTCAGACTACGCTGGCCGGCGGGTTCAGCCGGTTCGTTCCCTCTTCCATGCGCTACGGCCAGTTCCGCTACTACTGGCTTGCCCTGCTGACCGGCGTGACGGGGCACCAGATGTTGTTCCAGTTCACCCTGGGCTGGCTGATGTTCCAGTTAACCGGCGACGAGGGCTACCTCGGCTGGCTGGGTCTGGCCGTGGCCCTGCCCGCCCTGGCCCTGAACCTGGTGGGCGGGGTTTTGGCCGACCGTCTGGAGCCCAAGGTGCTGGTGGCTTCCGCCCAGAGCCTGTCTGCCACCGTGGTGGTGGGGCTGGCGATATTGGTGATGATGGACCGGGTGGAACCCTGGCACATTCTGGTTGCGGCCTTCATCGCCGGCGTCGGACAGGCCTTTGACCAGCCCAGCCGTGCCAGCATTTTCCCCCGCCTGGTTGAACGGGAGCATATTGTCAACGCCGTAGCCATGGAATCGGTTGTCTGGAACGGGGTTCGTATCCTGGCCCCAGCCCTGGCTGGCATGGTTATCGCCCGCCTGAGCATAGAGGCCTCCATGCTGATCAGCGCGGCTTCCTTCTATGTCCTGGCCGCAGTGATGTCCCTGCTTCGGCTGCGAGATCGGGCGCCCGCCACGGGTCGCGTGATGCAGCAAATAGGCGAAAGCTTCCGCTACGTAGGTAGCCACCCCATCTTCCTGTTCGTAATGCTGATGACCTTCTGCAACAGCCTTTTTGGAATTTCCTACATTCTGTTGATGCCCTCGCTGGCGGAGAAATCCTTCATGGTGGGAGCGGAACGGGTGGGCTGGATGCTGGGGGCGGCCGGCGCTGGCGCCATCATCGGCAACTGGGTTATCGGCAGCCTCAGGTTGAACAGTCCCCGAGGGCTCATCATCCTCTTTGGGGCCATGCTCTACGGAATCTGCCTGATGCTGTTTGCGGTAGCAGCCTGGCAGGGACTTTACTGGGTGGGAATGGGCATACTGTTCGTGGGCGGCATTAACTTCTCCCTGTACCTGGTGGGCGGCCTCAGCGCCCTGCAGGAACTGGTGCCCGACAACATTCGGGGTCGAGTTATGGGTCTTTACGGCGCCACCTGGAGCCTTGGTCCTTTGGGAATGGCCCAGGCCGGTTTCGTGGCACGCTACTTGGGCGCCCCCTTTGCGGTAGCTGTCGGAGCGGTGGTGGTGTTCCTGGTGGCTTTTCTGATATTCGTGTTTCGGTCCGACCTGCGAAGGTTCCGTGGCAGACAGCCAGAGCCTGCGGCGGTTCCGGCAAAGGCGTAGTCGTAACGAGCAGGGACGGAAACGGTTAAGCTGACTTGACCTGAGATTGAAGAGACAGGACCTGAGCTTTAGGCTGAATTGAGCCAGTCCATCCGCGGAAATAATGGAGGAGATATGACGAATAGTTCTTTTAACCCGCTTTCGCCAGACGAGCGATACGTTATCGAGATGAAGGGCACGGAACGGCCCTTTACCGGCGAGTATGACGACTTCTACGAAGGCGGCACCTACATTTGCCGCCGTTGCAACGCCGAGCTATACAAGTCTGACGACAAGTTCGACGCGCATTGTGGCTGGCCGGCCTTTGACCAGGAACTTCCCGACGCGGTAAACCATTTGCCGGACCCTGATGGCTACCGCACCGAGATCGAGTGCGCCAACTGCGGCGGGCACCTTGGTCACGTCTTCTTCGGCGAGGGGTTCACACCTACCGGCGCCCGCCACTGCGTAAACTCCCTGTCCATGAAATTTGTGCCCTCAGACGAGGAGCAATCGTAGGGGCCGAATCTCAGGTTCAGAAACCCCTCCAACGCAGGCTTCCAAACGAAGACGCTCGCTTGTTTGGGCTGGGCGAGGGCGTGGTATCCTTTAGTCCGCTGGCCGTCAGTCGTGTCCCCGTAGCTCAACGGATAGAGTGCTGGCCTCCGGAGCCAGAGATGAGAGTTCGACCCTCTCCGGGGATACCATCTCCTTAACGGCCTGCTTCGTACCAGTCCGCAACTCCCTCAAGACCTACAAAACGGGGCGTGGCCCAGCGGCAGGGCGCCTGGTTTGGGACCAGGAGGTCGGCAGTTCGAATCTGCCCGCCCCGACCATGTTCGGATTCAACCGTCCTTTTGGGCCGGAATTAACTCCCCCAAACCACCGGACGCGCAGCTTTGAGCACCAAGTCCCCAAGTGGACTTTTGCACCCCCTTCTAATAGACTACTCCCCAAACTATCACCACCCCGGAGGTTCTTGCCATGCCCGTTTTTCCGCATGAATACCTGCACAAAGTCGCCTACCAAGTCTATGTCGCCAAGGGTACGCCTGAAGAGGAGGCGGAAATCGTCGCCACTCACCAGGGTGAAGTCCAACCTGGTCGGCCACGACTCCCATGGAATCATCCAGCTGCTGGAGTATTGCAGCCGTATCGACCGGGGCCACATCGTCCCGGGCGCGCCCTTTGAAGTTGAGCGGGAAACCCCCAACACCGCGGTTATCAACGGCAATTGGGGCTTCGGCTTCGTGCAAACCGAGAAGGCCATGCGCATGGCCATAGACAAGGCCAGGGACCACGGCGTGGCTGCCATGACCCTTCACCACCAGAGCCACGTGGGACGCGTCGGCGACTATCCGACCATGGCCCTGAACGAAGGAATGATTGCCTTGGTCACCGCCGACTCGGGAGCGGGCCCCAAGAACGCAGCCCCCTTTGGCGGTCGTGCCCGTCGACTTGGTACCAACCCCATCTGCATTGGAGTCCCCAGCGAACTGCCGGGGCCGGTGCTGCTGGACATGGCAACCAGCGCCGTAGCCATGGGCAAGATTAACCTCCAGCGCAGCCGCGGTGAACCGGTGCCGCTGGGCTGGATTGTGGACAAGGACGGCAAACCCACCACCGACCCCAACGACTACTTTGCCGGCGGCGCCATCCTGCCCGTGGGCGCCGACCAGGGCCACAAGGGTTATGGCCTGTCTTTCATGGTGGAGATGTTCTCCGGCCTGCTGACGGGACTGGCTTCGGAATCGACCCCCAGGCTCGTCATAACGACGGCGTGTTTATCTCCGTTTACAACGTGGAGCACTTCCGCCCATTGGACGACTTCAAGCGGGAAATGAGGGAGTTCGTAGAGTTCATCAAGACCTCACCCCCCGCCGAAGGCTTCACCGAAGTCCTTTACCCAGGAGAGATCGAGTACAACACGGAGTTGAAGCGCCGGGAGGAAGGCATCTTCGTGGAAGACCAGACCTGGGATGGCATAACCGCCCTCATGGAGGAAGTTGGGGTGGCCGAGGCGGTGGGGAAGCCGTAGGGGAGCACCAACGGCCCAGCGCGCTGCCAATAGAATCATACCTCAGGAAACCCAAAAGGGTTGTCACACATTTTCTGTGACAACCCTCTTCTTGTCACAAAACAACCGCCTTTTTCTGTGACAAGAGCTTCTTCTCCCTAGCTAGCCCCCTCCCGCAACTTCTGCAGCAATGGAATAGCCGCAATCTTCCGTTCATCCAGGTCTTCCCAGTAGATGCCCTTGGGGTGGGGCAGTTCACCGCTACACCTAATGACTTCGTCCGGTGTCACAGCATAGTCCAGCGGTACGTCGTGGTCCGTGCGGGGCAGTTCTTCCGCTAGTACCTGCATCGAGTGGATGGTGGTTATTACCGGGATTTGGGGGCTGACTATGCCGGCGGCGGTGGCCAAACCGTATTCAAGGTCGGCGTAACCCCCGCCCTTGCCGATTCGAACTCCGCGGCGGTTGACGGCAACCGAACCGGAAATAACCAGGTCAACCTGCCGCATCTCTTCCACGAAGACAGGACGGCCGTGGCGAAAAGCCCCGCTGATCGTTGAACCCTGAGCCGGAGTGCAGGCCATTACCGCCGGGTCCAGTTCCACGAAACACCGCTCATCCCGCAGGCGTGGCACGGCCATATAAAGCAGCTTTCCTTCCTCCAGGGCCTGCTGACGCAAGGGCCGCTGGGCCTTGTCCGGGTTGCTCTTGATTACCCTGGCCCGCTGCCAGGCCTCCAGGTCAAAGACCCTTTCTGCCGCCTCCTTGGAGCCGTAGAAGTCGGGTATCTTATCGTGGACGGTCCGGCCGCGCACTACCTTCGCCTGCTCCAGGGCCGTCCAAATTTCTTCTCTGATGTCAAACTTGTCACGCATATATCACCCTTCCCGCGTTGGTATTTGACTCGGTTATACGGCACGCGCGTAATCAGCAAAGCTGCTAACCTGCGCTTGGCCAGCCATGTCTATCAGAACATGCTGGCTTTCCATGGGCTTGCCGTCCAGACGGTCCTTCAGCCAGTCGGCCATCAGGGTGGCCGGGTTGGGGCCCAGGTCGGCGGAGGACGACCCGCCCAGGCCGTGGTCGGCGCCCTCGTAAACCACCAGATGCCTGGGTGCCGTCATGGTGTCAAAGAGCTGGTAGGTACACTCGATGGGACTGAGGTGATCGTCCTCGCCGGCCAATGCCAGGTAGGGGCAGTTGACCTTTTCACCCACACCCTCCAGGGAAAGGGTCTCTGCAAAGCGGTCGAACTCGTCCTCGTCTTCGTAGCCGGCCATGTACATGAACCGCAGCTTGAAGGTGGGCGATGCCAGGTTGAAGATGGTGTTCATCCCGGGCTCGTGGCATACCGCCTGCACCGCGCAGCCCTTGATACGGTCATCGATGGAGGCTACTTGGGTGCCCCAGAAGGAGCCCATGCTGTTCCCTCGTATCGCTATGCGGTCCGGGTCTATTTCCGGCTGCGCCCGCATCCAGTCCAGCACGGCGCGGCCAGCGTCCATCCAGTTGGTGGCGGTTACGTGGATTCCCCGCTGCAGGGCCTCTTTCTGGCCGGGGCCGTCGATGGCCAGCACGGCTATGTCCCGTTCCAGCAGGCGGTCGCCGTAAAGGGACACGCCCGTTTCCTTGAAGCTGTCCATGCCAGGAATGCTCATCACGCAGGGCAATTGGCCCCGGTTGCCGTTGCTGGAAATCTGGCTATAGGGAACGTTGGGCAAGTGCAGCCAGGCGGGAATGGCGCTGTCCTGGAAGGGAATGTCCACCCGCCGGATTTCGTGGTTGGCGTATTGGGTGTATTTGGTGTAGCACTCCACCTTCTTGTCGCCCAGCCGTTCATTCTCCGTGGTGTGGGCAAAGATGGGCCACTGGGCGCTGCCGTATAACAGTGCGGCAATGAAGTAGCTTTCGCCGGCGGCTATAGGATGTCCCTCTGCCTCGTGCTGGCGGGCCTTGTTTTCGCGGCGGACGGCGGCACGCTTGAATTCGCGGCTGGCGTCGTTGAACCGCTTGGTTCGGGCCCGCACACCGTTAAAGTCGGGGGCCGCCTCGGGGCCGCAGGGGCCCAGGGTATAGCCGATGCGCCTCTGGTCCCACTCGATTCCCACGGTCTGCACCACCACGTCCATCAGCCAGCGCTGGTCCTGCCAGCGCTTCATGCGTCGTTCAATAGCTGCTTCCATCGCAGGCATAATGCACATCCTCTACTTGCCAATTAGGTTTGGTTCCAATTATAGACGGAACGGTCAAATGGGGATCGGGTCCCCTGCCAGACCCGGGTTCTCGCAATAGCGGACATGACCGCCCCAAGCACATGAGCTCGACTTCCGGAGCGAAGCAGCTCGTTATCCGGAGCGAAGTCAGAGGGTCTAAATACTTGCCGACAGCCTGGTATTGAGTCCCCAGGCGAGACTTCCTGCAAGGAATGGAGACACTTCTGCAAGCTAAAGGTGACAGATTTTGTTGGTGACTTGAACTGGCGTCGGTTCGCCGTGAGCCGATAGCGTATTGGCTCCGATGCCTCCTTAACGCGCCTGGCTTTACCCGGTTTACAGGGCAATCTATCCAATTCATAATAAGACAACACAATATCAGCCATTGCAGCGTCAGGAGGAGCTATCCCGATGATCAGGGAAGCTATCGACATAGTAGTATCGGGCCACTCCCTGAACCGGGGACAGGCGACCGACGTCATGCAGGAAATCATGGAGGGCGAGGCCACGCCGGCCCAACTGGGAGCCTTCCTGACCGGTCTCCGGCTGAAGGGCGAATCCACCGACGAAATCGCCGGCATGGCCGCAGTGATGCGGGAAAAGGCCCTTCGGGTCAACGCAGAGGGCCCCCTTCTGGACGTGGTGGGCACCGGCGGCGACGGCAAGAATACCTTCAACATCTCCACCGCCTCCGCCTTTGTGGCAACCGCCTGCGGAGCCCGGGTTGCCAAGCACGGCAATCGGGCCGCCTCCAGTTCCTGCGGCGCGGCTGACGTTCTGGAGGCGTTGGGGAGTAAAGATTGACCTGACTCCGGAGGGCGTGGAGCAGTGCATAGAACAGACGGGCATGGGATTCATGCTGGCCCAGGCCTTCCACCCTTCCATGCGTCATGCAGCGCCGGTGCGTCGGGAAATTGGCATCCGAACTGTATTTAATATCCTGGGTCCGCTGACCAACCCGGCCCGAGCCCAGTGTATGCTCCTTGGTGTGGCCTTTCCCCAGTTGGGGGAGTTTATGGCTGAGGCGTTGAGGCTGCTGGACATACAGCACGCCCTGGTGGTACATGGCGAGGACGGAATGGACGAAATTACTCTGTCCGGCACTACCACCGTATGGGAGGTACAGGACGGGGAGGTTAAGAACTGGACCATCGACGTAGCTGACACGGGCTTGTCCAGAGCCACCACCGACGAGCTTAAAGGAGGCACCGCCTACGAGAACGCAGCCACCATGCGCCGCCTGTTCCGGGGTGAAGGCGGACCCCTGCGCGATGCCGTGCTACTGAACAGCGGGGCCGCCCTGGTGGCAGGTGACAAGGTAAGCTCCCTGAACGATGGCATCGCCGTGGCCGCTCAGGCCATAGACGGCGGTAAGGCTCTGGAAACGGTGGACGTTTTGGTGGAGGTTAGCCAGAAGGCTGGGTAGTAAAGTGAAGATTCTGGGAATCAGGGTAGGGGGAGAGAGCTAAAAATGGCGACAATTGGAAGAGGTGACATCGAGAAGGCCCTGCGGTGGATTGAAGACAACTGGGTGGGGCAGAAGGCCTGCGCCATCTGCGGGAACACCGGATGGTTCATGGGAGACGCCGTGGGGGAGATGAGGCAGATAACTCCTAAATCCAGGTGGATACCCACTTCCGGATCAACTTATCCCTTGATTGTCCTTTCTTGCGAAACCTGTGGTTACACACTACTCTTCAATGCCATCGTCCTTGGCCTGATGGAAGCATAGCAATGGCCAACTTGAGAGTTAATCACCAGGAGGTCAGCCTGCCTTAAATGCCAAACATTCTTGACGAAATTGTCGCCGCCAAGCGGGAAGAGTTGGCCCAGGTGATGAAGTCCGCTCCACTGGCAGTGGTGCAGGATCAGATCGCCCAGCGTCCGGAGCCCTTAAGCCTGTCCGGCGCACTGCGGGGCGGAGAGGTAAGGCTTATTGCCGAGGTAAAGAAGGCATCGCCATCCCGTGGGTTGCTTCGCCCCGACTTCGACCCCGTGGAACTCGCGAATACCTACGCCGCTAACGGGGCAGCGGCAATTTCGGTGCTGACCGATCCCCGTTTCCAAGGAGAGCCGGCACACCTTTCCGGAATCAAGGAAGCGGGCGCTTCGGGAACGGCGCCGGTATTGCGCAAGGACTTTATTTTCGATTCCTATCAGGTTTACGAGACCCGGGCCATGGGCGCCGATACCTACCTGCTGATCGTTGCCATCCTTTCGCCGTCCCAACTTTGCGAGTTGCTTGCTCTGGGCAGCGGTCTTGGCATGGATGCCCTGATAGAAATTCACGACGAGTCCGAGTTGCAAATTGCCGTGGACGCCGGCGCCGAGATAATCGGCATCAACAACCGCGACCTCCGCACCTTCAATACCGATTTGGCCGTGACCGAAGGACTGGCTCCCCTCATACCAGGCGATAAGGTAATCGTCAGCGAGAGCGGCATCTTTACGCCCGAGCACCTCCAGCGATTGGGGCAACTGGGCGTCAATGCCGTCCTGGTGGGCGAGGCCCTGGTTACCGCGTCGGACACGGCGGCAAAGGTGCGAGAGCTAACCGCCCCGGTTGCGACAACAAGCCGCTCATGATTCGCACCAAGATTTGCGGTATCCAACGTACTGAAGACGCCATAATTGCCGCCGAGGCCGGCGCCGATCTTATCGGCCTGGTATTCGTTCACCAGCGTCGGCGGCGATTGGAACTCTTGCTAGCCGCGGAGATTGCCGACGCGCTGCGGACCCTGGTCCCTGAGCCACCCCAGGTGGTTGGACTTTTCGCCGACCAACCTGCGGACGAAGTTATCGGCACCATCAAGACCTGCGGATTGGATTTGGTTCAGCTCTGTGGGCAGGAATCTCCGACGTACTGTTCTCAAGTAGCCAATTCGACCGGAGTCGGCATCATAAAAGTCCTGCACGTCTCCGCTACGGAAAATATTGAAGGCAACTTGGATGACGCAGGGATGACGGGACGTTTAGCCCCCTACCAGCAAATTGGTTGCCGCGTAACACTGGACAGCCTGGTAGAGGGCCTCCAGGGCGGCACCGGTCAGAGCTTTGACTGGCAGGTAGCGGCCCAACTTTCCCATAAGGGCCACGAATTCCTGCTGGCCGGTGGTCTCACTCCCGACAACGTGGCCGAGGCGGTGGCGCAGGTGCAGCCTTGGGGCGTTGACGTTTCCACCGGTGTCGAAACCGAGGGGATGAAAGACCCTGAAAAGATACGAGCCTTCATAAATAACGCAAGAGGATAATCTTAATGACGGTTAGCGACGCAATCACCTGGCCCGACGATCGTGGGCGATTCGGCGACTTCGGCGGCAAGTTCGTCCCCGCTACCTTGATGGCCGCCCTCGAAGAACTGGAAGCGGCCTACGAAGAGGCCAAGGCAGACGAGGACTTCCAGGCGGGCCTGGCCTCACTGCTCCACCATTACGCCGGCCGTCCCACCGCCCTCTACTTTGCCGAAAACCTGACCCGTCACTGCGGCGGGGCCAGCATTTACCTGAAGCGCGAAGACCTGGCCCACACCGGCGCCCACAAGATTAACAATGCCCTGGGCCAGGCCCTGCTGGCCAAGCACATGGGCAAGAAGCGCATCATCGCCGAAACGGGCGCCGGACAGCACGGCGTCGCCTCCGCCACCGTCTGCACCATGCTGGGCCTCGAGTGCGTGGTTTACATGGGCGAGGAAGACATTCGCCGGCAGGCCCTCAATGTTTACCGGATGCGCCTGCTGGAGGCCGAGGTGATTGCGGTCGGATCCGGTACCCGCACCCTGAAGGACGCCATCAACGAGGCGATACGGGACTGGGTGACCAACGTGGAGACCACCCACTACCTCATCGGCAGCGCCGTGGGCCCGCACCCCTATCCTATGCTGGTGCGGGACTTCCAGTCCGTCATAAGCCGGGAGGCCCGTGCGCAGATATTGGACGCCGAGGGTCGGCTACCTGATTATGTTGTCGCCTGTGTCGGCGGAGGCAGTAACGCCATCGGCGCCTTCTTCGAGTTCATCGGGGACGAGGACGTGGCCCTGGTCGGCGTCGAGGCCGGCGGTGAAGGCATCGACAGCGGTCGCCATTCTGCCACTCTTAGCACTGGTCGGCCCGGAGTGCTGCACGGCTCCCTGTCCTACCTGCTCCAGGACCAGCACGGCCAGGTGAGCGAGACCCACAGCATCTCCGCCGGCCTGGACTACCCTGGCGTGGGCCCCGAACACAGCTACCTGAAAGACGCGCACCGGGCCGAATACACGTCAGTTACAGACGACCAGGCCCTGGAGGGCTTCCACCTGCTGTCCCGCACTGAGGGCATAATTCCGGCCCTGGAACCCTCCCACGCCGTCTACCACGTGGCGGAAATGGCCCGCAGCCTGCCCCCGGACAAGATAATCCTGATGTGCCTCAGCGGTCGCGGCGACAAGGACGTGCCAACGGTGGCGGCCGCCGCGGGGATTGAGTTCTAGAGCGCATTTCCCCAGCCCCACTGCTATAATACCGCCCACGCTGCAATTGCGAATTACGCCCGCCACGGCGGGCTTATTTTTGGACAAGAGGAGGTCGAAGATATGGAATTAGGATTGACCGACAAGGTTGCCATTGTTACCGGCGGCAGCGAGGGTATCGGCAAGGCCGCCCGCCCAGCGCATGGCCGAAGAAGGGGCCCGGGTGGTCATCGTAGCCCGCGGCCAGGAAAAGCTGGACGAGGCCGCCCTGGATATCCGCACCGCCACCGAAGGCATGGTCCTGCCCCTGTCTGCCGACGTTTCCCATCCCGATTCCGCGGAGCGGGTGGTTCAGACCGCCCTGGATAACTTCGGTCGGGTGGACATTCTCGTCAACAACGCCGGGGTCTCCCTGGCCAAGCCCTTCGAGGATGTCACCGACGACGAATGGGAGTATGACTTTGACCTGAAGGTATGGGGCGCCATTCGGCTGATCCGCCGCTCCATTCCCGAAATGCGCAAGGTTGGCGGGGGCCGCATCATCAACGTCACCAACTTGGCCGGCCGCACCCCCGGCCCGTCCTCCATGCCCACTTCCATCTCCCGGGCCACCGGAATTGCCATCACCAAGGGCCTCTCCAAGGACCTGGCCCCGGACAACATCCTGGTCAACACCGTGTGCATCGGCATCGTAAAGAGCGGCCAGCACACCCGCCGCTACGACCGCCTCAAGGAGAACAACCCGGACCTGACCCTGGACGAGTTCTACGCCCAGACGGCAGTGGCCCGGGGCGTGCCCCTTGGCCGTATCGCGGAAACGGAAGAGGCCGGTGACGTAATCGCCTTCCTGGCCTCAGAGCGGGCCAGCTACCTGACGGGCATCGCCATCAACATTGACGGTGGAACCTCGCCGGTGGTGTAGGACTTGGTTGCCGCCTGGACGCCAAAATAGCATGCAATATGGATGGACAGGATATATGAGGAACGGGATTGGAAAAGAAATAGTCCTGTTCATCCATCCGGGTTAAATCGAGGCCGGTAAGTGCGCTCTATACTTCCGTTCGGGTTAACATTGGGAACGGCTCTGCTGGCCGCCGGAATTCTCGCTTGCTCCGGCTTTCAAGGGCCTGACCAGGACAGCCCTGAATTGCCGCCAGGGGACTCGACTCCGGCTTCCGGTACGAGGGTGCCGACCCCATCTCCATCCCCCGTTAATACTCCCCAACCCGCCGTGGCTCCCACACGGTCGACCAGTGCGCCTCAACCTACTGTCGCCCCCACACCAACCGTTACACTGCAACTCACTGACGCATCTACCACTGCCGACGCGCCACAACCTGCCGTGGTTCCCACCCAGACCAGTACGCCCCTGCCCACCACCACACCTGCTCCCACCAACGCTCCCCTACCCACTGTGCCCACGCCTACCATTACGCCGGAGCCTGTTACCTTGCCGGAACCGACCAGTATGCCGCAGTCAGATACCATTCCGTCGCCGACGCCGAGCCCCGCACCTGCCATTGCCGAAGTAGTCAGTCCCCCTTTGGGACTTCCCTTACAAATATCTCAAGACTTGCCGGAACCTTACCGATATTCCGAAATTAGTGTAGGAGACGACCACAGCTGCGGTTTGCTGAACAGGGGGGAGGTGCTGTGCTGGGGTAGCAACCGGATTCCCTTTGGTCACTTCGTGGGCCAGTCGCAGCCTCCGTCCGGCAAGTTCATCGACATTGACTCTGGTCATGCTCACACTTGTGGGGTAAGGGTGGGTGGAACCGTCGAGTGCTGGGGGAGCAACATCGACAAATGGAATGAAGTCTCCGGCCAATCTATGCCGCCGGCTGGCACGTTCAAGATGGTCAGCACCGGGAAGTTCCATTCATGCGGGGTACGGTCGGACAATAAGGTGATGTGCTGGGGCAGCAATAGAGAAGATTTCGGTGATGATGTTGGTCAATCGAGGCCACCAATGGGCGACTTCAAGTCAGTCAGCGCCGGAGACTGGCACAGCTGCGGTATAAAGATAGATGGAAGGATAAAGTGCTGGGGAAGCGATTACGCCGACAGCAAAAGGGATGGGGGTCAGACCAGGCCCCCCCAAGGAGAGTTCATATCATTGACAGTGGGTTCATTCCACTCTTGCGCTATTGCGGTTGCCGGCTTCGCGGAGTGCTGGGGGGACTTCAGGTACAAGGCTGAGCCAACCTCGCAAGGGGCTGAATTGACTTCAATAGATTCCGGCATGGGTCAGGTTTGCGCGGTGTATTCGGATGGTAAGTTGACTTGTGAGAACGCCAGGTATAGATGGGGAATCGAATACACCGGCATTCCGGACGAACGTTTTTCTTCCGTCAGTTCTTACCGAGACCACAGTTGTGGTGTGCGGTTGGACGGTACAGCTAAATGCTGGGGGGATAATTCATTCGGCAAGGCTACCCCGCCTGAAACTGGCGGTTTCAAAGCCGTGAGTACTTCGCGCAAAGACGTGTGCGCCATCCAGCACAATGGTCAATTGGATTGCTGGGGGAAATCTTACAACGACTATCTGGGGAGAGAACTTCGCTCTTGGGAGAGGTCCTACGCCGTGCCTGAAGGCGCCTTCAGTACGGTCAGCAACAACGGAATTACAAATTGCGCTGTCCGGCCTGACCACGTGCTGGTATGCTGGGGCTGGTCTGGCAGTGAATCAATTGGCGAAGGATACATAGCCGTGAGCATCGGAAAAGAGGCTTACTGCGGGCTGAAGCAGGACGGTGGCGTGCAATGTTGGGACCGTGGCCTTGACGGTGGCATCTACCCGTCCCAGGAAAGGGTGAAAGTCAGCGAAGTTACTCCATCCAGCAAGAATTTTACGTCCATTAGCGTGGGAATTCGCCATGCCTGCGGATTGCGTCAAGACACTTCTGTGGAATGCTGGGGAGATAACTACAGTTATAGATATGTGTCTCGTGGCTTTGAAGAGCGCGGCGACTACCTCGGCCAGGCACAATCCCCAAAGGGTCATTTTACGTCCGTCAGCGCCGGGGGTTTTCACACTTGCGCTTTACTTTTCAACGGTTCGGCAGTATGTTGGGGCGCCGATTTCGCCGGGCAGTCCACACCTCCTGAGGATCAATTTACTTCCATCAGTTCTGGCTACGCTCATACTTGTGGCATTCGACCTGACGGGTCAGTCCAATGCTGGGGCAACGGCCTGACTGCACTTGCCGCAAGCACTGGTCCCATCAATAACATGATCCCGGATTGGAGGGCAGGCGAAGATTTTGTGCTTATCGCGCCAGACCTTCCATTTGCATCGATAAGTGCTGGGGACGGCTTTACCTGCGGAATCGTTGTGGTCGGCGGGCTTAAGTGCTGGGGACGTATTGCACGCTAGGTCTAAGGATACGGTGATGAAGCGGACCAGTTACCTGGCAGCCATATCCATTAGAGTCGATGGGGGTCAGGATAGGGATGGCAACATCCGAAAAGTGGCTTCAAGTGCTGGTAGGTTTGCCGTATCGGTAGTGAACATAGGGCAGGCCTTCCGGTCTGCCCCTTTTGCCGTCCGCCTCTAAATAGCGGATAATATAGATACAATACCGCGCTTTGCGACCAACAGGAGAACCAAGTTTTGACCAACAGCTATCTTGACGAATTCAACCCACCCCAGCGCATTCTCATGGGCCCCGGTCCCAGCTCCGTCAACCCCCGGGTGCTGAAGGCCATGACCCTGCCCATCCTGGGCCACCTGGACCCCCAGTTCTTCAAGGTTATGGACGAAGTCTGCGAGATGCTGCGGGAGGTCCTTCATACCCAGAACCACATTACCGTCCCCCTCTCGTCCACCGGCACCGGCGCCATGGAGGCGGCCTGCGCCAACATGCTGGAGCGGGGCGATAAGATGATCGTCTGCCGAAACGGCTTTTTCGGCGACCGCCTGGGCGACATCGCCGAACGGTGCGGTGCGGAAACCTTCATATTGGACTTCGTTTGGGGTGAACCCGTCGACCTCCAGGTCCTGTCCGATGCCCTGGATCAGTATGGGCCGGTCAAGGCAGTGGGAGTGGTCCACGCCGAGACTTCCACCGGGGTACTGACGCCCATGCCCGACATCGTCGAACTGGCGCACCGCCACGGAGCCCTGGTAATCGCAGACGCCGTTACCTCCCTGGGCGGCCACGATGTGCGCATGGACGACTGGGACATAGACGTCTGCTACAGCGCCACCCAGAAGTGCCTGGGCGCCCCTCCGGGCCTGGCCCCCATCAGCTTCGGACCTCGGGCCATGGAGGTCATCAACAACCGCCCCAGCAAGGTGCAGAGCTTCTACTTCAACCTGAAGGGCCTCGAAAGCTACTGGAACCAGACCCGCGCCTATCATCACACCTCTCCTATCTCAATGACTTACGCCCTGCGAGAATCGCTGCGGATGATGATGGAAGAGGGGATAGACAACCGCATCCGCCGCCACGCCAGGGTAGCCGGGGCGCTGCGGGCCGGTTTGGAAGCTATGGGAATTGACCTGATGGCCCCGGAAGGCTACCGCATAAATCCGCTGACCACCGCCCTGATTCCCGAGGGCATTGAAGATACGGCGGTAAGGGGAAGACTGCTGAGCGACTTCGACATCGAGATCGGCGGCGGCCTGGGGCAAGTCCGAGGCAAGGCCTGGCGAATCGGCCTGATGGGCGAATCGGCCAAGGAGTCCAACGTCTTCGCCCTGTTGTCAGCCTTGGAACAAATCCTGCCCGACTTCGGCTACGAGGTAGCCTCCGGCGCCAGCCTGTCCGCCGCACAGCGCGCCCTGGTCAGCTACGATGATGGCGGGGTGCTGCCGTAGGGCAAAAACCAGGACAATGGAAGGTTCTGGCCCCTGTTGAAAGCTCGCCCCGCCAGCGCGGGCATAGCAGCCCCCGCCTAACGGCGGCGGGGGCCATTGTCTCTTTCGTTTCCCAACCGCGAAAGCCACGCTATCCGCGCATCGGCTTGCCTGCGCTCTACCATTTGTTCCGTTCTTCGGTCGCCCAGGGTTTCCGGCCGGAAGGGTTGGTCTTCATACTTCTTTTTGTGAGAGTGTTCCGCCAGCTTGAATGACAGGTACATGCCACCGACCAGGCCAACTGCGGCTGAGATACCTGCAACCCACATTGAATGGTCAACCAGGAAGCAAGATAATGTCATGCCACAGGCGGTCGCACCCAAAATAAGAGGCACGACCGGGAATATCACCATCCCAATAATTCCAACCAGGCCCATCGTGATCCAGGTGCGAGGACCCGCCTTGAATTTCCACTCCTGCTGACTTGCCCCTTCATTCATAGGACTCCCTCCCATCCCTGTTGCCGACACCAGGTAGCCACCACCCCCAAGATCGTCGAATCCGGCATGGCAAGACCTCGCCAATAGTTATGACAACAGCCACTGCCCGGAACACTAACGCGGTAACGGCTTCAAAGAAGCTTATGCGCTGGAGGCCACTATTGCAAACTGCCCGACTTGCACAAAGCTCGCCAGCGAAATGGCATCCCGAAGGGTTCTGCCTTTAGCCTGCGCTATGGTGCAGACCTTGCTTTTCAATACACCGGCTAAGTTATTGCAATGTAGTACATAATTAGTTATGCTTTATGTCTAAAAATAACCAATCCACTTATGGAAGGGGGAGGCTCTCCTTTATGACTGACTCCCATGCTGTTCCCCTTTACGACAACATTGGCGTCAACTACGATGCCACGCGGCAGGCAGACCCCTACTTGACCGCGCGTCTGGCCCACCATTTGGGCCTGAAGGATCAAGGGCAATATCTGGACATTGCCAGCGGGACGGGGAACTACACTACCGAACTGGCAAAGCTGGGCGGTTGCTGGCACGGCCTGGATTTGTCCTCGGGGATGTTGCGGTTGGCAGGCCGGAAGAACTCTCAAATCTGCTATCTGCGAGGCAATTCCGTTGCGTTACCATTTCGAGACCTCAGCTTTGACGGCGCGATCTGCACCATGGCCCTTCATCACTTTGCCCGCCTGCTTCCGGTCTTTTGCAAGGCCAATCGTGTCCTGAGACACGGTCGGCTGGTAATCTTCACCGGCACTCGCGAACAGATGGCTGCCTACTGGCTCAACGAGTATTTCCCCATAGCGATGGCCCGTTCAACCGCGCAGATGCCTACCCTGGAATCTGTTCTGGAAGCGTTGAGGGATACGGGCTTTTCTTCGGTACAAGCCGAAACGTACGAGGTACAGCCCGACCTGAAGGATCTGTTCCTTTACTCCGGCAAGCACAGGCCCGAGATTTATCTGTCCGACGCGGTGCGGCGAGGCATATCCACCTTTTCTACCCTCGCAGACCCAGAGGAACTGGAAAGCGGATGCGCCCGACTCCAACAGGACATCGATTCGGGCAAAATCACCGAGGTAGCGGAAAGCTTCAGGCACGAGGGCGGCGACTACGTGTTTGTCGTAGCCTCCAAGGAAAGGTTAGGCTAGAGGCAAAGAGTGGCAACGCCGTGAGAAGAGCCCATTTCGCATGACAGCCTCCGGTGCCTAGTCACCCTCACTCCGGTACGCCTCGTCCAGCAGATCCACGACGTGCACAACCTTCTGGCCTGCAGCGGGACAGTTCGCCGACCCCAGCCCCTGCTCTATCTGCATCATGCAGCCAGGATTGGCGGTTACCACCTGCTCGGCATTGGTGGCCTCAATGTTTCCTATCTTGGTAGCCAGAATCCGGCCCGACAGGTCGGGTTGCACCATTGAATAGAATCCTGCGCCACCGCAGCACATCGTCGATGCTTCCATCTCCACCAGTTCCAGACCTGGCACCGCCTTCAGCACATCCCGTGGCTGGCGGGTAATTCGCTGGGCGTGGACCAGATGGCAGGGATCCTGGTAGGTGACGCGCCGGTCAATCCGGCCTTGCGGTGGGTCCAGAGGCAGTTCCGCCAGGAATTCGGTGATATCCACCGTCAACTCGGCAAACCGGCGGGCCGGTTCGGCATACTGGTGATCGTGCTTCAGCAGTTCGCTGTACTCCTTCATGTTGGAGCCACAGCCGGCCGATGCGGTAATGATCCTGTACCCGGGCCTGTCGGCGCCCGATGCCAGGAATACGTCGATGTTGCGGCGGGCCAGACGGCGGGCCGTTTCCAGGTCCCCGGCATGGATATTCAGAGCCCCACAGCAGACCTGCCCCAGTGGTACCGCCACGTTGCAGCCATTTCGGGTCAGAACCCGCACCGACGCCTGCATCGTCTCTCCCTGCATCAGGGGCATTACACAGCCGGAAAGTAGGGCAACCGTGGGGGCGGCTTGGCTGTTGGCGCCTTCAGACCCTTGCCGAGGTTGTGCCGGGTACAACTGATCCGTAGGGCCAAAGAAGGGGCCATCCAGGTCCGGCAGTTGGGCCTCCATTTGGGCCAGGGTCTCAGGTAGAAGTTTGAGCAGCCCGGACGCCCTGACCAGCTTCCGGAGACCGGTGCGCTGGTATAGCTGCAACAGGCGGGCCCCGAACCGCAATCGCTTCGGATGAGGCAGGGCCGCCCGCAGGAAGAACCGGTCAACCCGCTTTAGCGCCGAACCCTGTTTGTCCTGGGCCAGAGTCTGGGCGCGGGAGTATTCCATAATTCGGCCATAGGGTACTCCGGAAGGACATACCGCCTCGCAGGCCCGGCACTGGAGACACATTTCCCAGTGGGAGACGATGCGGTCGCTGATGCCCACCCGTCCCTCGTGGACGGCGCGCATGAGGGCAATGCGACCCCTGGGGGACTCGGTTTCCAAGTGGAGGGTGCTGTAGGTAGGGCAGGAACTCAGGCACAGGCCACAGTGGACGCAGCGGTAGAGGTCTGCCTCCGCCGGCGAGTCAACACCCAGAAACCCGGGCTCGCTGTTGAGGGGTTCCTCAAATTCCGCGGTGTGGGAGTGGGACGAGATGTCCTGTTGGACCATTAGAACCTCTTTTACAGTCGCCCGATGAAACGGCCTGGATTAAGAATTCCGGCCGGATCAAGGTTGCGTTTGATGCGACGCATGATTTCCAGTTCGTTCGCCTCGACGTTCCCCGCCCAAACATCTACGCCGCTTTTGACGTCTTGCGGGCAAACCTCTACAACCACGGCGCCGTCCAGTTCTCGGGAAGACCTTCGCACACTGTCGATCAATGCTGTTATGGCCTCCGGTTCCGGGCCGCCAGCGGGACTATCCGGCCATTGGAGAAGTTGCACCATGCCAAACCCGGGGTCGGCAACAATCGCAAGTCCCGCCAGGTCCCCTTTTTCCCGCTCCTTTATCGATTCCAGCAGCCTGCCCACGTTGCTCGGAGGCAGGCTCACTCTCAACGCCAGCGTTGGACAGTCGGTGTCCTTCCAGGCCAGGTCCGTCAAGCCCCCCAGAAGTCCGGCACTTGCCGTTTCGTCCAAATCATCGACGGCGATACCGCCCGAGTCCGCGAGCAGCCGCGTCGACTCTTCTGCACGTCGCGCTACAGCCCGGGGCCGGCCGGACAGGAAAGCCACCACCATTGCTTCCGAACCAGTTGGCATATCCAGCCCCAGCCTACCGGCAACTTCCCGACTGGCTACCTGTATTCCCTGGGGAGCATACACCTGTGAGACAAGGGAACGGGCGGCGGCAACCGCAACCTCCATAGAAGAAAAGAAGGCAACCAACCCTGCCAGCGTATCGGGCAAGGGCGCAATCTTGAAAGATGCCTCCACAATGACGCCCAGGGTGCCCAGTGAACCGGAGTACAACTTGTTCAGATCATAACCGGTTACATTCTTGACCACCCGTCCACCGGCCTTGGTTTCCACGCCGTCACCGCCAATTACACTGATGCCGATCAGCCAGTCCCGGGGCAGTCCGTAGGAATGGCGCATTGGCCCGCTGAAACCAGTAGCCAGAATTCCGCCAACCGAGGCGCGGTGAGAAAGCGGAGCTTCCAGGGGGACAAACTTTTCACCCTGTGCCAGTTCCCGCCTCAGGTTGTCCAGGGTTATCCCCGCCTCGGCAGTAATGGTCAGGTCTGCCGGTTGGTAGTCCACCACCCGGTTCAGGCAAGTGAGGTCCAGCACGACATCCACACTGGCAGGAACATTTCCTAGCCCCGCCAAAACTCCGCCGCCCCGGAGGAACAGGGAGACCCCGTCCTTGGCGGCCCACCGGAGAACCTGGGCCACGCCCTCGCGGTCGGGGGGTCTGACGACGGCCTGCGGGACAACACCGTCGACCAGATAACCTTCCGTTGGCAGGACTGCTTCGGGACCCAGGAGTTCGGAAAGCTGGTAAGCGAGGGAACTGGTCAACGGCTTTTCACATAGTTTCCGGATCGCATGTCTCTAAACATACATGCCCGGGTCAGCTTGCCGCGGCGTTGCTTGCACGGCAGGCTCGAATTCTTCGCCGTCAGGGAAAATCTTGCCCGGATTGAGGCGGTTGGCGGGGGCGAAGGAGTCGCGGACCAGTTTCATTGTTGCCATGTCCTGTTCCGTGTATACGAGGGGCATAAACTGCTTCTTTTCCAGGCCAATGCCGTGCTCGCCGCTGAGGCTGCCGCCCATTTCCACGCAGTATTCCATCAACTCCGAGGCGCCGGCCATGGCCTTTTCCTTGACTCCAGGTTCCCGTTCGTCGAACAGCATGCAGGGATGCAGGTTGCCGTCGCCGGCGTGAAAGACATTGGCAATGATGATGCCGTACTTCTCTGACACCTCAGACACCTTCCGCAGAACCTGGGTCAGGCGAGTACGAGGCACCACGCCGTCCACCAGGTAGTAGTTAGGAGCTATGGTCCCAAAGGCGCCAAAAGCCGTCTTCCGGCCCAGCCAGAGGCGCTCTCGTTCGCTGTCCTCTTCCGCAATCCGAACATCGCTGGCGCCGGTCTCCCAAAGGGCAGACTCCACTTCCCGGCTGACTTCATCCACTTCTTCCCACAAACCTTCAAGCTCGATGAGGAGCACGGCCCCCGCGTCTTCCGGATAGCCTGCGTCGGTGACATTCTGCACGGCCCGGATGCTCAGGGCGTCAATCATCTCCAGGGCCGCCGGAACAATGCCGTGACCTATGACCGCCGAAACCCCGCTGCAGGCCGATTCAATATCGGGGAAAATGCCCAAAAAGGTCTTGACTGTTTCAGGAAGGGGCAGCAACCGTACCGTGATCTTGGTTGCGATTCCAAATGTCCCCTCGGAGCCTACAAAGACACCCCGCAGGTCATACCCAGGCACTTCCCGGGACTGGCCGCCCAACTGGACCACGGTGCCATCCTCAAGGGCCACTTCCATGCCCAGGACGTGGTTGGTGGTAGTGCCGTAGGCCAGGCAGTGCGGCCCACCGGCATTCTCGGCGATGTTGCCGCCCAGGCTGCAAGCCTTCTGGCTGGAGGGGTCAGGAGCGTAGCGCATGCCAAACTTGCGGACATGGGTGTCCAGGTCCAGGTTTATCACTCCAGGCTCGATGGTGGCGGTGCGGTTCTCAGTGTCCACCTCAAGGATGTGGTTCATTCGGGGAAAGGCTATCTGGATGCCACCCGGGGCCGCCAGCGCTCCGCCGCTGAGACCGGTGCCCGACCCCCGTCCCGCCACGGGCACGCCCTCGCGGTAGGCAAGGGCCAGTACCTGGCTTACCTGATCGGCGTTGGAAGGCAGGGCCACCGCCCGGGGCATGGACCGGTCAACCGACCCGTCATACTCGTAGACCAGTAGGTCTTCCGGATGGGAAATAACAAACTCAGGCCCAACAATGTCCTGTAGACCACGGATGAAATCTTGCTGTTGCACGGGACCCTCTACGCCAGGGATAAGACAGTATCGCCGAGGCCAATTATCGGGACTACGTAAGGCGATGATAGAGCAAAGGCGCGGCTGGTGGCAAGGAGGGTTAACCGACTGGGTATTTGGCAATGGCGTTGAAGTCCAAGTCAACTATTAGCCTTGCTTGTTGACCTCCTGGAATAAATTCTATGAAACCAGCCTCAGCCAATCTCGTCAACTCACGTAGAAATGTCCGCGAAGTCACATCGCTATAAGCTCCCTTAAAATACTGGGACTCCACTAAGTCAAGAAAAGTTATTTGCTGGGATGGCGAATCCGAGAAAGGGTCCGTTGGTTCGGTTGCTGTCAAAAGATAGGACAACAGGTTATATTCGCGATCATTTAGCACTCGACGTCGGGGACTTAATCGCGTGTGACGGCAATGTTCCATCATCTGGCGATAGACTAGGCGGTTTAGCTTGGTCTTCACGAAGTTATTTATGCCTTTGAGCTCTTCGCATAACCCTTCACTCCAAACTGTATAAATGAGGTCACATCAAAAGGAGTGCCTTTCCTGCATCCCTGAAGTTGTTCCTTGTATTCATTCTCATTACGATAAAAATAATTCGACGGGCCGTAGAAGCCGTGAACATTATAGTCACTCTGGAACAAGAGCCCAGCTTCAAGCAATCTGGAGACTCGACCGTTGCCGTCGCCGAATGGGTGAATTGTTACCAAAAAGAAATGCGCCAACAAGGCTCGAATCACTGGATGGTTTTGTTGAAATCTGCGTGAATGGAGAAACTCGATGAACTCTTCCATTAACTCGCCCAGTGTTTCATAGGGAGCACCGTAGTGAACACCCCCCATTTCCTGCGAGCCAACTGTTACCGAGTAAGTACGCAGTTGACCGGGTACGTTGTGCCCCTCATCAGAACCCTCCGTTACCAGTTGGTGCATGGTAATGATGTCTCCCAACGTCACTGGCGAACTATCGGGCGCAAATCGTTGCCTGACCCAACTCTGTGCCCGGTCCGCATTCCTTATTTGAAGGTGTTCCCTGGGGAGCCTCCGCGAGCCTTCTTCCTGGTCAGCTTCTGCCAGTTGCAGTCCAACCTCCGCTTCAGAGAAGGGATTGCCTTCAATCGCCGTAGTACCGTGGACTGCTCGAACACGATTCAGGCGGTCAAGTTGCTCTCGCCATTCGGGAGGCAAGGTCAAATTTAGGGAGGCATGCTTGTAGCCTTCGATGGAAATTAGGTCTGAGAACAGATCATTTACGTCCAATGAAAAGTCGAATCTGAAGTCGTCCCAAAACTGTTTGGCGTTCACTATTTGTCACCTTAATTGACACTTAAATTGGCATTGGTTTATTTATTACAATTAGCATTATACAAGTACATAACCTCATAGAACACCCAGTATATTTCGGCCTTATGCTTGGTTAAATGACAACTTCTTTGACAGCTTATTCGGCGTATACCTCCCTTTTGAATGGCATTATGTTTGAAGCCAGTCGGCATGAATGTTCACAGGAACCAACCGAGTGCACTATCCAACACCTTTGAAAGAATCTCCCCAAACTTGCTAACCCCCTCGACACGGGTTTATAGTTGTTTTAACAGTTGACAAATTATGGGGACGACGCCGCATCGGCTGTGTCATCCCTGCGGGGCGGGCCAAGTCCGGCCCTGGAGTTCTTATGACACAGCAAGAATTGGTGGCCTGGCTTCGTGAGTGGGGAGTCAGAGTGACCCCCCAAAGGTTGGCCATTGCCGAGGCTGTCCTCAACTCCACCGACCACCCGTCGGTGCAGCAAATCTACGAACGGGTGAGAGACCACTTCCCGTCAATGACCCTGGCTACCATATACTCGACGCTGGGTGTACTGGAAAAAAGCGGCCTGATTCAGGAACTACCCTTCGCCAAGCAGTCCCGTTACGAATCGAACCTCGAGCCCCACGTCAACCTGGTCTGCGTAGAATGTGGCAACGTGGTAGACACCGAACTGGGTCAAGAAGCGGTATTGAGGCTCAAGTCGTTAATTTCCCAGGAATCCAATTTCGACGTGGCCTGGCAACGTGTCGACTTCCATGGCTGGTGCCGCCGGTGCGCTGCCAATCGGGCGCCCGAGGCATCCCCCGCATAGTCGGGGCCCATCCCCGTTCAGTCACTCACTTCCTTTGCAACACGGCTGCCAATCTGGCAGGCTAGGAAACAATTCATGATCAACAGTGTAGTCGGCATAACAATCTGGACAGACGATCTGGACCGGCTTTACCGGTTTTATCATGACCTTTTGCACCTGCCGCTTCATTCCAACCACGGCGACTATATAACCTTCCAGTTGGGCGAGAACATGCGCTTCAACATCGGCCTCCACGACGGTGTCAGCGGCGCCACCAAGGACCCTTACCGCATGATGCCGCACCTTGGCGTCGAAGACATCCATGGAGAACACCGTAGGCTCACCGAGGCCGGCGTTGAGTTCCTGCGCCCCCCCGAACACGAACACTGGGGAGGCTGGGTTGCTACTTTCAAGGATCCCGATGGCAACGTCCTGCAAATGCTTCAATTCCCCAATTAACTTTTCTCTATACCTCGCTTAACTACTGACACCCGGCTGTTGCGGGCCAGGTTCCAGTTTGGTTACCTTGATCCCGTCTCCAAATAACAAAGGACGGTGCGAGGTAACCATCGTTTGTACCAGCAAATAGAAGACTTCTCACTCCACATCCTGGGGCAATTCTCGTTGCCAACCTCCTGAGTGCCGTGGCAATGTGGTATGAGATATACTACGTGGTAAGTGATTCCATCACGGAAACAGTCAAGGCAATACTGGTCGACACAGCGGCGGCCGCGGCAATTGGCATCTTTGCAGTAGGCACGGTGGATACGTATATGGTGCTTTCTAAATTGATTCTAGAGAAATACCTGGCGAACCGGTTCAACGATGGCTTGGCTCAGGGAAAGGTCAGGGGTCGTGAAGAGGGGCGCGAACAAGGGCGCGAAGAAGCCAACGAAGAGTGGAAAGCCTGGCACCAGCGAATGATGGAAGCCATGAAACGCGGTGAGGAGTTTAACGAACCCCCGCCCGAATCGCCAACAAGGAAGTCCTGAAGCCGCAGGTTGCAACATGGTGCTCCACAAGTTCTTGCTGGAGCCATATCTCAACAATCGATACAACGCCGGCTTGTCCCAGGGTAAGGCCAGGGGTCGGAAAGAGGGGCTGGAAGAAGCCGACGCGGAGTGGCAGGCCTGGTATAACCGGATGAAAGAAGCAGAATCCAGAGGCGAGGAGTTTGACCAACTCCCTCCGGGCTTTGGTGAACCCCAAACAAAGGACTAATCACCAGATCAGCATCGCGTCCCCGAAGCTGTAGAAGCGGTAGCGCTCCTCAATTGCCTCCCGATACGCTGCCAGAATCCTCTCCCGTCCGGCGAAGGCCGACACTAGCATTACCAGGCTCGACCGGGGCAGATGGAAGTTGGTTATCATCCCGTCCACCAGCCTGAACCTGTGCCCCGGCAGTATGAACAGATCGGCCTGGCCGCTGGCCGCTTCAATCGCATCCTCATCACCAAGTCCTGCCTCTTCTCTGTCCCTACCTACCTGTTCCAGGGTCCGCACCGACGTCGTGCCCACTGCGATTATGGACCGTCCTTCCGCCCTCGCCCTGGTCAGTGCGGCGGCGGTCTCCTCGGGCATCTCGTAGTATTCCGTGTGAATAGCATGCTCCGTCGGGTCATCCTCCGACACCGGGCGGAAGGTGTCCAGTCCAACGTGAAGCGTCACAAATGCAGTCTCCACTCCCTTGTCCCGCATGGCATCCAGCAGCCCGGGAGTGAAGTGCAGGCCCGCCGTGGGTGCGGCCACACTGCCAGGCTGCCGGGAGTAAACCGTCTGGTAGCGTTCCGGATCGGACAGCCGTTGATGGATGTAAGGCGGCAGCGGCATCTCGCCCAACCGGTCAATGCCGGATTCGGCGGAGAGCCGGATTCTCCGGATTCCCTCTTCTCCGATTGATAGCACTTCGGCCTCTACGCTCTCATTTTCTCCCATCGCCAGGACATTGGAATCGAATGCGGGTCCGCTCTCCTTGAACGCCCCGGATAATTCCAGCGAAATAACTGACCCCGGGGCGCAGGCTGCGGCCCGGCTTGCCCAGCGCCTGCCAGATGCCCTCACCCTCGCGGCGGAGCAGCAGCAGTTCCACCCTGCCACCCGTGTCCTTGCGCCTGCCGTATAGGCGGGCCGGTATCACGCGGCTGCGATTCAGCACCAGCACGGCGCCCGGGGGGATAAGCTCCAAGATGTCGCTGAACTGGCGGTGAGACACACTGCCGGAGGCGCGGTCCAGTACCAGCATGCGCGAGGAGTCTCGGGGTTCCACCGGAGTCTGGGCAATCAACTCCGGAGGCAGGTGGTAGTCAAAGTCGTCGGTACGCATGGTCGGATACATAGAGGAGCCGCGAATGTCCCGAACCGGCTAGCCGCCAATCAGGGCAGCCACGGCGCCAGCGGGATCCTGGATTACACAGAAGTTCTGGCCGCCCATGTCGCGGGGGCCGTCAATCACCTTCCCGCCCAGCTCAATGCATTTCTGGACACTCTGGGCTACATCCTCCACCACGATATAAACCAGCCATTGGGGCGGAACATTGGCGTTGGATCCCGGGTATGGCAGATGCCGGCCACGGTATGGCTGCCGTCGGGCAGGTTGATGTTGTAGTCGGCGTAATCGCCCATGTCGTGGTCGGTGTAGGTCCAGCCGACCACCTGGCAGTAGAAGTCCCGAATCTCCGGGGCACTGGGCACTGTCAGATCTTGCCACACAACGCTGCCAACGGGTGGCAATTCGAAGCCCTGGTGTTCTTCGCTGGGTTGTTGCGGTTCGGTCATGGGCAGTTATTCTCCATTCAACAGGTTGCTGGTTTTGTTGGGAAAGCCACGAGGGCTGGCCCTGTATGCGCTATCGCGGCTCTGCCCGCCCCTATCGTCCGTGAATGCTTAGCCGGGCAGCAGTCAGGGTGTTGACCAGCAGCATCGCAATGGTCATGGGCCCCACGCCGCCGGGCACCGGCGTGATTGCCTCGGCCTTGGCCGACACCGCCTCAAACTCCACATCGCCCTCCAGCCGGTAGCCGCGCCGGCGGGTTGAATCGTCAACCCGATTAACCCCTACGTCAATCACCACCACCCCGTCCTTCACCATATCGGCGGTGATGGCCCGGGGTTGGCCGATGGCCGCTACCAGGATGTCGGCCTGCCGAGTAATCTCGGCCAGGTTGGCGGTGCGGGTATGGGTCACGGTCACGGTGGCGTTGGATCCCGCCCGCCGCTGCAACAGCAGGGTGGCAAGAGGCTTGCCTACAATATTGCTCCGACCGCACACCACCACGTGCTTGCCGGCCGGATCGTAGCCGTTCCGCAGGAGTATCTGCTGGATGCCGGCGGGGGTGGCAGGTATGAAGTCGGGGACGCCCTGCAGCAACTTGCCCACGTTGAAGGGATGGAGGCCGTCCACATCCTTGATTGGGTCCAGGGCCTCGATGATGACCGTCTCCTCAATCTGGGGCGGCAGGGGCAGTTGCACCAGGATGCCGTGGAACCTGGGGTCGGCGTTAAGGCTGGAAATCAGGTCCAGCAGTTCGGCCTCGGTGGTGGTCTCATCCAAGTGGAATATCTCGCTGAACATTCCCGCCTCGTCGCAAGCCCGGCCCTTGTTCCGGACGTAAATGGCGGACGCAGGGGTCGCCGCCCACCAGCACCGCCGCCAGGCCTGGGGTCATCCCATGCTTTTCCTGCATTTCGGCAACGCCTGCCGCCACTTCGGCCCGCACTTCCTGGCCCAGCGCCACTCCGTCCATAATCTTTGCCATGCCAACAACCCTTTGCGAGATGAACTGAAATTTCGGGCCAATTCTAACACGGGCTATGGCGGCCCTCAACGAATCCGCCCTCAACGAAAGGAAATGCTTTCCCCATAGATTTCGAAGGCTGATACTACTGGGGCTGTTGGGTCTCTGGCGACGACCTGACAACCAGGCTCACCAGCGCCGCGACCACCATCGCCAAGGCTGTCGGAAGAAAAGAACCCTACCGAAAAGCCGGCTAATACGCCGAACCCCAAAAGCAAGACTGCCGCAATCCCCAGCAATAAAGACCGTCCCGCCCATCCGACATCCAGCGCCAGAACAACCAGGTAAGAACCAACGATTATCCCGATTACCAGTTTGACCAATATGGGCAGGTAAATGAGAGCGACGGCGAAAATTGCCAGAACACAAAACACGGCGAGAAAGACCGCCACTGTCCTTGGTACCGGCTTGCCAGTGGCCCGGCGGCCTTGGGTGAGAACGGTTAACCAACCGAGGCCGCTAATCGCCACCGGCGCAAATACCGTCGCCAGCACTTTCAAATCCTCGCCATAACCGTCCCGCAAGGCAGGCCAGACCACAAAGCCGAAAGACACAACCAGGTAGACGGCCCACGCCAGGGCATGAGAAACGAAGCTGGATATGCGCATGACCTGGTAAAATTTGCCCGCCATCCTCACTCCACCTGTCGTCCACCCGGAAAGGGTAATTATGAGTCAAGGGTATGTAAGGGCATAAGATCAGTCACCCGACTGTTGAGGTTGCTCTTTCCCAGGCCCGCTCAGAATGCTGAATGCAACTACGGCAACCAGCAGCGCCAGGGCCGAGGGCAGGTATAAAATGCCGAAGGAGAGATACCCCAGGCCGCAAAACACCAGGAGGACGATCGCTATTCCCCCCAATAACAGCTTATGTCCGATGCTTCTTCCCCTCCAGGTAAGCAGCGCCATCAGGGCCACTCCCGTCAGCATCACGGGAACAAACAAGGGAAGCAATGCCCGTATTCCATTCTCCTCTATGAAAGAGGAGGAGTATCGGACCACCTCGCTCTCTTCTGTGCCGATCCGATTACCCTGTTCATCAACCTGTACCGGCGTTGCCGAAAGCCCCTGATAGGAATAGGGCCAGAAGGCAATCCACAAGAAGGCAGCCCAGGCCAGAACATGGGCAACGGAGACTGATACGCCGATGGCTCGACAGGATTTCACGTTGTGCCTTCCCCTATGCCTGATTCACGCTATACTCAGTACAGTCTAGTGCATCCAGGAGTGGAATCCCATGCGCATCTGTTCCCTGCTGCCCAGTGCTACCGAGATTGTCTACGCCCTGGGGCTGGGCGACCAGTTGGTGGGAGTGTCCCACACCTGCGACTATCCAGCCGACGCCCGCACCAAACCGGTAGTCAGCCGCAGCGTCCGCAGCGTGTCCCACCTGGGCAGCCAGGAAATAGACGCCATAATCCGGCAGGCTCGGGACAACAACAATCCGGTGCACTGGATTGACGGCGACCTGCTGCGTGAACTGCGCCCCGACCTGATCATCACCCAGGAAATCTGTGAGGTCTGCGCCATCGACCAGAGTTCCGTCTTTGCCACGTCGGCCCGCTTCCTGGACTACGAGCCCGAAATCGTGGTCACCCGTCCGGTGGGGTTGGGGGAAATTTACCGCAACATCCATATCATCGGCGGCGCTGCCGGTGTGCCGGAACGGGCCGAGACCCTGGTCAAAGAGCTAAGGAAGCGGGCCCAACGGGTTACCGAGGGGCTGGGAGCAGTAAAGCAGCGACCGAAAGTGTTCTGCATTGACTGGCTGGAACCCTTGCGCAACACCGGCCAGTGGACGCCCGAACTGGTGGAACTGGCTGGCGGCGAGGAAGGGCTGGCGGAGAAGTGGGGCAAGTCCCGCGAAATTGGCTGGGACGAGGTGGCAGCCTACCAGCCTGACTACCTGATGGTAATGCCCTGCGCCTTTGACATGACCCGCACGGTGCTGGAAACTCGGGGGCACCTTTATTCCCACCCGGTCTGGCAGTCATTGAATGCCGTGCGGGAAGGACAGGTTTACTTATTCGACGGGCTGATACCCAGCCGCCACGGGCCGCGGGTAATTGACGTGCTGGAGGGATTGGCGGAAGCGATGCACCCGGGGAGGTTCGAGGGACTGGCGCCGACCGGGGTATTTCAAAGGGCCGAGTTATAGGTATATGCCTTGAGGGTATTATGGCCTGGCTGAGGGCGAACTGGTGAACCGTGGAGTTCGTCGAGTTGGCGATGCTTGCATGAGCCGTAGGTCGTTAAAAGTCCACTTTAGTTCTAATCATTGCCATTGTTGTGGTTGTCCCACTGCTCGTCTTGGTGGGCCCACTCCTGCTTTCCAGCTCGGCCCTTACAAGCCTGCGGCAGAGGATGTCGCTCAAAGTCCTGTTATATACCCTGATTCTTATAGTACTGTTTCCGGTGATGCTGGGCGGGGCCCTTTATTAGAGAATTATATCGAATTTTAGCCAAAGGCAAAGAGTTGTAAGAATGGCAAGCAGTCTTGTTTTAGCCGAATGGGTAACCACTTCTCTAGAATGGTTACCTCCCTTCATTTCAGATACCGTAGAGTGGGGGGTTTTGATTCAGGCTTCAGAGCATGTCGGACAATCAGGAGACGTAAGGCGGCAAGAGTTAATCTCGGATTGGATGTGGTGTACCGTTTTACCTGTACTGCAACCCTACGCTGACAGATATGGATTTGGCCTAGAGTGGCAACGAATGTTGGATGAGCGCACTTCAGAGGCTGCATCTTTAGCGAAGGCAAAAGTGAAGGAAATCAAGGGAGGGTACTACGCATCTGAAGCTGCTGCTATGGCCAGCAGTTTTGCTTACTTCGACGTTGACGACGACTTTATTCCCTATGCAGTTTATGCTGCAGAGTATACCGCAGAGGCGGCGGGGGTATTTGCAGTCCTGTCCCACGACGAGGACACAAGTGCGCAAAGGGAATCTTCAAGCGACGAAGCTAGGGATGCTCTGGAACAAGCATTTGCTGCCGGCTTTTCAGCGGATGCGGACCCTGAAAGCAAGGAGAAATCAGATTACGCTGACGAACTCGCTGATATTTCAAGAAAAGAAGTGGATAAATTCGAAGCCACAGCCTATGACCCCACAGTGAGAGAAAGGGCAACGAAGGATGTTTGGCAAAAGATCAACCCATGCGGGTTATTGGAGCAGTTAATAGCTGTTGGCTAAAATCCGATATGATTCCCCTTTTTTACTGGGTGTTCTTTCATTCGAATTGACTGATCAAAGACGCCGATCACCACAAATGCGGTCATTCAGTCTCAGGATTGAACCGCATTTGGTGATATTGACGGAGAAAAAGTAGGGAGTAGAGAGCTAATGCTGTTTTTCATTGAGTTACGCCACGCGCCGGAACGCTGCCCCGGAGTTGCCCCTGAAATCAGAGACCGAATGTTGCGCATGGCCCAGACCCGCGATCAAGTCCTGGAATCCCATGGTTGCACGTGGGTCGGCGGCTGGGTGAGTCCCACGCCGCACCTGACCTTCATAACCCTGGACGCTCCAGGCGCTCACGCCGTGGACTCCGCCATGAGAGACCTGGGCCTCGCCGTCTGGAACTCCACCAACATATACCCGGTGGTGGACTTTGACGATGCGGTAACCGCGCTGGCCAACCAGCCGCAGAACTGACCGGTAGCCAGGTGATTAGCGGTATTGGGTTCTAAGCAAAAGTGTCAAAACATAGTTTGACAAGCTCACCATGAGCGGGACCTGTATCATCCGCTCATCTGAGCTTGTCGAATGACTCCCGCCCTGAAGTGGCAGAAAGATGAAAGGGGCCCGGTGTGACGGCCCCTACTTCTTCTCCGGCACGTCGGCGAACAGGTGCCCGTTGCGGGCCTTCACTTCGAAGGTGTACATCTGCGCAATGGGGCCGTTCATGCAGTTGCCGGCATAAGGGTCAAACCGCCAGCCGTGGGAAGGACACATGAAGCAGGTATCCTCCATGTAAATGGTCCCCCAGCTATGGGGGCACAGGGAGGAGAGCAGCCGCAGCACCCCGTCTTTGCCCTTGGCCAGGTAAAAGTCGAACCCCTCTACCTCTACCTCGCTGGGAAACTTGGTAAAAGAGTCCTCAGGTCCCAGGTCCACTTCCTTGACGCCGGCGGAAAAGTCCGGGTAAACCATCGCAGCCCTCACCTAGTACAAAAGATTGGGGGGAGTATAGCGGTAAAAGTATGGAGTGGGCAATCGGGGACGACGTGGCAAATTAGGGGGTTGGGTCAGTAACTCTTTACGGGCAGCCCTTTGCGCGTGTCCTGCCCCTTGTGCAAGAATCCCAACTGTAGGTGCAGCCCTTGTGGCTGCCCTGTGTCTTTGGCAAAACCACCCAAATTGAAGCTCTGCCTCCCTCCTTAACCCTTGACACCCTATGTATTTATATTCCACCATTATGTTCACTGATTGGTTCCAACTACGGGCCACCTTCCAGCATAGTGTTTCTACTTTGCCCCAGGTGTTCGCTATTAAGGAGTAGCGTATGGAAATTTTTGACTCCCTGTTTGCTATCGGCCTGCTCCTGGTAGTCGCGAAACTACTGGAAGGCTTGTTCAAACGGTTCGGTATCAGTTCGATCTTTGCCTACGCCATCACCGGCGTAATTCTCGGACCGGTAACCGGCCTGATAGACGCTGAAAATGACTTCCAGATCATCCTGAACATCGGAATTTTCATTTTCTTCTTCCTCGTCGGCATGGACGAACTGGACATTTCGGGTTTCCTTTCGGCCATCAAGGGAAGATTATTCATCGCCGCAGTCCTGTCCGTAGTTATTTCCATGGTGGCTTCTCTGGCGGTAACCACTGACGTCATCTTTGACGTGGGGCTGGGCCTGAGCTTTACCGGTGCCATGGCGGTGGCCGGCGTACTGTCCCTGTCCAGCCTCGGCATTGTCGCCAAGGTACTCATAGACGAGGACCGCCTGAAAGAACCGGTGGGAATACAGATATTCACCGCCGTGGTAATTGCCGAACTGCTGGTCCTGTTCATTGTCGGCTTCGCCATCAGCGAGCACGCCTTCATGGAAGGCGAGGACCATGTGGACGCCGCGCTCAGCGTGGGGATACTCCTCGCCCAGTTGGCCGGCTTCACCATCGTTACTTGGCTTGTTTGCAACAAGGTCATCCCCCGCGTGTTGATGCTGTTGCACCGGGTATTGCAGGTACCCCAGCTTTCCTACGGGTTGTTGCTGGGCGGGTTGTTCCTCGTAATCGTGCTGGCCGAGAAGGTCGGCCTCCACGGGTCCCTCGGGGCCTTGTTGTTCGGGGCCGCCCTTTCCCCCCTGCCCTATCAGCTTCGCCACGACTCGATGCCCGGGATGCGCAGCACTGCGGAAGGCCTGTTCGTCCCCCTGTTCTTCGCCTCGGCGGGCCTTAACCTGAATCTCGACTTCATACACTTGCCGCCCGAAACCATCATCGCCCTGATCTTCGTACCCCTGGCTGGCAAGTTCGCAGGAGCGTTCATCAGCGCCTACGCTGTCCGCCTTCAGGCTCCCTTTGCCGTGGCTTCCGGGCTGATGGCCAAGGGGGTGGCGGAGATTGCCCTGCTGCTGGTAATGCTGCACGCTCACGTTATTGACGAGGCTCTCTTCTCGCTGCTGGTCGTCATAATGTTCGGCTACATTCTGCTGACACCCATAGGCATAAGCTTCGCCGTAAGAAGAACCGCACACCGGGATGTGGTCACCAGTGGAGGCCAGCTGCCGCACATGATTGAGCGCTTTGTCATGGCGGATATTCACGTAAAGGATATTCTGGACCAGACCCGTATTTACCCGGAACAGACAATTACGGTCAGAAATTTCGTGGACCTCTGGACCAACCCGGAACAGCACGATTACGTCGTGGTGGACGGAGGTCAGTTGGCTGGCATAGTGTCGCTGAGTATGCTGCGCTACCTTCCCC